AATACAGTTTTGTTCCATTTCCACTCAAATAAATGATTATACAAGAGTTCATTTTGTCTGAATATGTTTATTTTGCAGGCAAATGCATTTTTCAGTCAAAATATAAATTTGGCATATTAAAGACTAGCAATTTATAAATTAGGAAATATCCAAGAAATAAACATCATTGATTTGAAAATACCTAAAAAAAACCCGCTATATTTATTCAACAGAAAAAAAAAATCAAGTACTAGGAAAAAACAAGCTACCATTTGGTGCAAGACATGTTAGGTATGGACAGTATATATGGTATTAATGGTGTATAACAGTGTCAGGATCGGACCCCGCTCCGTAGCCCAAGAACATGGCAGGGACGGCCCCGTCAACAGCGTCCTGTTGGCGACGGGCGGGCGTTCCTCAGCGCTCCACTCCTCCTTCTGCCGAACAGCTGAGTCGGCGTGATGACGCGGCGAGCCCGGCCCAGCGGCGTCCCGTTGCTAGGAGACGCTCGGGTCGGGTCTCCTCTCCGGCTCCGCCCCCCCAATCACCTGCTCTGCCTATTTAATCCGTAGGCTTTCACTTGCTCGACGTTCTAGCAAAGTAGTACGTCGAGCAAGCTACTTAGGAACCTAAACTGCACCGGTCTCTGGCTATCCTGCTAACCCCTCTTCGACCTACACATCTAGCCCTTGGATTTCTGGCAGCCTGGATGCAGCCTCCCATCCTGTGAATGGACTTTCCACCTAACAGCAAGTAGCCATTACCACATGCTGTAATCAATTGCCGAGTTGTTTGCACCTACTGACATCAAGGTTAGGGGTAGTGAATTCAACTAAACTCTCTTATCTAAAAAACTGCCTTACCCTATTCTCTGGACTGTCATAAATGCAATAGAGTTACTGTCTCTTTGACCTCCCTAGTGAGGTAAACTTGGGGAGAGAACTACAATTCCCAACAGGCCCCAATGCTGTAGAATTGAGGGTTGTGGGAATTTACCACTGCCATTTAATTCCTCCTACATCCAAATGGTATATGATGTGTAAGGGGTTCCGACTTCACTCACTACACTAAAGTGTGACAGTGAACCCTTCAACTGAACCATTTACGCTTACCTCCGCAGTTGTGATCCTATCCCTCCCGCAGAGTTTGCACGGATCATTACAAACAGTAACCTAATTATGATCTTCAGATGTTGTAAGGTTGCTGAGGGCCGAATGAAAGAGAATCGGTTGATTCCCCCATTAAATACCCAAAAAGTGACTGCATCGGATAGGATGTAGCCACTGTTCATCCAAACATTTTCCACCCAGCTCAGTAAATTGTTAAATTGACTTCTGGTGGTGCTTACAGGGTGGCTCGAATTTTGACCGATTCAGCAGAAATTGGCCAAATGTCAAACCATGTATGGCTGGTCTAACTGTCCGTGGCAGTGTGCAGCAATTAAATATTTTAAAGAGTGCACCAGAAGCACCAAGATCAGGAGTCCTTCGGGCTAGGTTCACACCTGGGCAACTCTTTGTCATGCGACAATCGTGCACAAAATGTCACAGAGTCAGCCACCGCAGGCGATCGCGCTGGCGGTGCCATTATTTTGTAATGGCACCCCAGTCGCACCATGCGGATCGCGCGGAATCCCTCCCATGCAATTGAGCACGATCACGGCTATAAAAGCAGCGTACTTGTACCTTTTTTAGCGATTGCCACGCGCATGTAACCTCATTGAAGTCAATGGGGCCGCACAGCAGTCGCACAGATCTGAACCTAGCCTTAAAGTGCAAATTGAGACCTGAGCTGACATGGTCTTACTTTAGAGGTCCTTCTTACCAGGCTCCTGTTATAATTGCAATATAACGTTTGGGTGGATGTCTATATCATACATTATTGTCATGGTACGAAACTGGTCACTTATCATTGTACTAGTAAGTGGAAATGGTCAGCAGAAAGCAGAATTTACTTCCAATAATGTCATAATATGGTGCCGATAAGAATTGATCACAGACTCTTAATAATATTTGAAAACAGGGATGCCTTAAAGTGCAACCATGAGAAAAATAATAAAAATTACATATATTGTGCAACCTGTCAATAGCATTAACACAGCATTTCCTATGTCCCCCCATAACATAGTTTTATTACTTGGTGATCCTTCCAGCAGATCTGTTATTTTTCCACCTCCTGGCATAGGGCAACAACGTTGTTCTGTAGTGAGAAGGCACAGCAGTGTTATCTCCCTGTGCACAGAGTAATCGCAGATGGACATGCACTTTTAAAATGGACTATAAGTAAGAGACAAACAAGTTAAAGCCTAATTCTGGCTAACTCTTACGTTTTTTCTTTTGGAAAAATGTTTTAAACTATATGAATAAAAGTTGACCATAGTAGGCCCCTCTATCTCTGCTAATTTTGCTGGTCAGCTTGGTCTGTTACAGGAAGCGGTAATCAACAGGTAATAAAACTTTGTTAAAGGAGGACTTTGTTAAAGGAGAAAAACAAAGACTGCTGTGTTATCAATGCCACTGACAAGCTGGGATTGACTTAATAAAGGCATACAGGCTGTTGCAAGGGGAGTTCCCCTAAGCTGAGTGAATGAGATGTAGCTCTCAAAATAAAGCCAACATACTGCTTTTTAATCTTCCTTGCTCGTGATTGGGTAATCTTTGCAAAGTGAACTTTCGCCACATTCTCTAAGCTAAGAGAAAATTCCCTTGCAAGGTGAACATCCTTTTTGCCTTTAGTAAATCAACCCCACGGTATCATGTATGTTATTTTGCCCATAGCCCCACTTAATTACTTCCATACAAACTGTCATTGTTACAAGAGATAAACTAATTCTCAATTTGTTACTATCATTATCTTCTTTGTATGTCACCGCTGGTTTTATTAACCATTTCCAGAAAAGATGGAGAGCAAAGCATTTAAAAACACAGGTTTCAGTCATTTTCACATAATCTAAGTAAAATTATATTTCAGTATTGTTTAAAGTGCAATTCCAGTCCTCACAGAGCAAAAGTACTTCAGCAGTAATAAGCCTTCCACATGTCATAGTTGGAAGGATATTTTTAAGCATTGACACTGAATTTACATCTCGGGACCTTCTCGTATTAACATTTGTTGAGCATAAGTAGAGATCTTCGCTTTTAACTCATTACACCAATGACTAATGTGAATGCAAATGCCCTAACATCAGGGCCGAATTTACTCTCTCTGCTGCCCCAAGGCCATGTTCCTCAATGCGCTACCCTCCCCGCCAACCCCCCTTTCCCATGGAGAATGGCAGACCTGCAGGCTGCATACAAGTATTCTCAGTGACATTGCTGAGATCACTTGTACAAAACAAGAGGCAGCTTCCCTGCTGTACATTTAGTTCTGCTTCCCCAAAGCAGGGCTAAATGTAGAAAATAACTACCTGGCGCCCAGAACTCCATGTCCCGGGCATCAGGAGATATGAATTCCACACCCCTGCTGCCCTTCTACTCCCTGCTGCCTCGAGGACTGACGTTGGTTGGCCTTATGGGAAAACCGGCCCTGTCTAACCTGCAACTGCCACCTGACAGTATATGTCAGGCAAGTGGAGCAGGTATTAGAGTGCCATGTGGGTAACCATAGGGAAGCAGTTATAGAATATCAGCAAGTCTTTCGGAATTAATTTACCTGTAGGCCTAGTGGGGGGACACCAGAGCACAAGCTCTTCAGGTGTCACCAAACTTGTGAATCGCACCTTGAAAGGAGAAAGAGAGAAAAAAGATGCTAAAGGAAATCTGTCCTTGTATTATTACTGCTGCCACTTTGTAATCTGTCTGACTGGAGTTCCGCTTTAAATTTGTAAACATGATCTGTCTAATTACAATTTCAAAGTGAACATGTGCTTTGCCCATGCATGACACAGCAATGGGTTTGCTCAATTGCCCGCTTGATGCTTTTATCTTCCTCTGATGATGCTGTGCTGGGTGCTTGAGCAGCCAATTGCCAGGCCCAAGTGCCATCACTTTGGGGGTGGGAATAGAGTTCTTGTGCCTGCGTATGCTCCCATGAGATTAACTAGAAGTTTACCCAGGACTATTTCTATTTGTTCTGGTGGAAGAATAGGGTAAAAGGGGAGCAGACTGGAGGTGGAGGAGGTCCAGGGCAGGCAGTTAAAAGAGAACAATGGGGTAAGTGTTTTTCCCCATAGTTCTCTTAAGGGTCACGGGAGGACATATACTAGTGACCCAAAGCTCAGTATATCGCAAGCTACAACTCGCGGTATACTGAGACCGCCGCAGACGTGACGGATCCCGACAATGCTATCGAGATCCACCCAGCTGAGTGAATGACAGCGGGCTATGCCTATCTAGTGGCAGAGCCAGCTGTGCCTGCCCCCTCCCCCTCTGTTCCTCCAGTCAGCGCTGGAGGATCGGAGTGGGTAGGGGGGGATGTCCCTGCGGGGTTCTCTGCAGGGAGATGATCGAGATGCGAGTGAGTGAAGATATGCGTTCTATTGAGCCAACGTGCGACAGTTTCATTGTTGGCTCGAACTATGAGGATGAGTGATTTTCACTCATCTCATAGTTCTTCTTTAACCTCCCTGGCGGTATCCCGAGTCTGGCTCGGGGTTAATTTTCAATGCTAGGAGCGGTAACCCCGAGCCAGACTCGGGGTTGCAGAGAAAAGTGACACTTACCTTGTTCCTGCGAGCCCGCGGCGTCCTCTGCTGTACGCGGCCCGAAAATGAAACTAAAAGCCGGCATCTGACTTTTAGTTTCGTTTTCGAGCGTCAAAGCCGGCGGGAAATTCAAATAATTTTTTAATTTCGTGTTTCAAACTTTATCATACCTGGGATGTCTACTGGACTCTTGTTTGGACAGATTTAGGCGAGTTATTCCTAAGATTTACTAAGAATTACAGGCCTACAATATAAACAACAAATTTCCATGCAAAAAATTGTACCGCTTTTGGTACAAAATTCCTGACATAATCATACCGCCAGGGAGGTTAAGTAAACCTGTCACTTTACTCTGTGGGCAAAAGCACAGGTTCATTTTAAATTAAATTATCATGATGAACTATGTTTATATCCTTTGCAGGCCTTCTGCATGTCCTTCAAGAAGTTTGGAACTCCACTCTGAAACAATATATAAAAAAAGTAATGTTAATGAGGACCTGTCACCCACAAACAACACAACATTAAACTGATACACTATACTGGTATGGCGGCAATTTTATTTTAATGGATTTCATTTTTTTAAAATATTTATTTCTGCAATGCATATAAAATCTTAATTTTAACAAACTAATATTTAAAAAAGAGTGCACCTATGACACTGGTGTCACAAAGGATTATATGTTTTCTAAAGGCAAAGCACAGCAGTAGCCGTAAGACATTGCATCTGTAATTGTAAGCAGTCAGGAAGGTGAAGGCAGGGGGATAACTCACTCCTCTGACCCATTCAGCTGCGTGTAAAATTAGAGCTTCAGCTACTGAACCTTGTTAACTGGAATCGAATTTTAGCAAAGTAATTAAGGTTAGCTCAATCATCACCAGAAATAATAATAAGCTGGTTTTGCATATTTGCATATTAACTAAAGCAGGTTTTAAGATCAGTTCAGCAGTGCTAGTTCCCTTCTTTCTGTCTTAATGGGCCAATTTAAAATGCATGCCCTACTAAACAGTTAAATATACTATCAAATCAAATATGCAGGAACCTATATACTTGCTCGCTATAGGGCAACATACTTCAAAGAGTGTTACACCACCAATCAGAACTTGTCTCTATTCCAATGCCCCATCTCCCCCCTTATTTTTGGTAAGGCAATTGCAATAAGAAAATTAAACATTATTTTAGGTTCTTTGAATGAATATTGCATTCAGTCTTTGCAAAAAGTGGTTCTCTTGGGCATTCCAGTGATCAGATCTGTTCCCGAGCTGAACAGTCCATCTGCTGCAGCCTACACATGAAATTACAATGTTTTAAGGGTACAATACCCCCCTACCACAGCACCTGTAGGGGCTGTTGTACCATTGAAACGTTCCATATCAGTGTGCTGACGCTACTTTGCCAGTCAGCAAGCTGAGATCAGATCTTGACCAAGCTACACTGGACGTCAGTGACCTGTCTGTGTTGTCTGGCAGAGTTGTCTGGATCAGAAGGCTAGCTGAACAAAGTTATCTTTATTTTGTCAGCATTTCACAGGTATGTATCATAATATTGCATAAAAGGAACATAATTAGAAAGTAACACGTCTTCAAACCATTAATTTTAACATATATTTGCACAAAAACAAAATCTTTGTTTGAGCAAATGCCATTTCCTCCTATGGCCCTTCTGTTAAAAATACTTTCAAATGTAAGTAGCTATCATAAACAGATTAAACACTCCCTGGAACAATTAAATGAGTCCTCCGGGACATAGAGCTCCTTTAAAGCATACATGTAAAAGATGTTTGTATTTCCAAAATCACTCCTCCTGAACACACACCCTTCTCCAAATCCAGGGGCTCCGCTAATCAGATCTTATACAATGCCCCTGTCTCCTTACGTCAATCCCTTATCTTGACTGCGGAGAAGCAGGATGCAGGAGGAGTGACATCAGTGCAGTGAATTGTCTAATCGGCGTCTTAGGGCATGGTAATAAAATTAATAAGCGGCTGCTTGCGGCCTCATACTTTGGAGAGGCCTGGGAGGAAATGGGTTTAGGCAACAAAGCAGATGAATGTGATAATCACAAAATTGTTTAAAGGACCGGTAAAACAAAATATAAACAATTTCTTTTTAAGTAAAAGGGCTATTTAAATGCACCTGAAGTTTTGGAGAAAATAGTTTTTCTATAATCGAGTTGGGTAAGGAAAATAGACATTGCCTTTTTAATTTTGAAGGTTTTAGAGCATTTTGAAAGTGGAGAGGTGCTAGTAAGTAGATGAGCTTTAAAGGAAATTCCGCTTTTACAAACAAATAATAAATAATTATGTAACATACGTAACTGTCAAGTCATTTCGTAATTACATTTAAGAGTGGACTGACCCCTAAGCCCTTTGGAAGCTCCACTATAGTTGTGCTGCAAGCATGCAGGTTGTTATAAACAACACCTCTACTTATTTATCTTCTCCAGCAGAATAAGAACTGAGCACATTATAGGGAATTGAACATACCTTGGCTGCCCAGTTAATAAGCCATAGGGGGATCATTCCTCCAGGATTGTCAAAGTAATACATAAAAACTGCAAAAGAAAAAGAAAATTAGAAATTTGAGTTAAACATACACAGAAATTTACCATATTTACTATCACGTGTACAGAATGAGGAGGCTCCCACATTTCAGTTTACATTTTAATAAAAATTTGCCCTTAGGACTCATTCACATCCGGATGCTGGTAACAAAAATCCAGCTTGCTGCATCTTTAATGCCTTTCCCATCAAACCATGTGTCACACAGAGTTTCATGGTAACATATTTGAAATGCATGTATAGTCAATATGTATAATCATGCCACACAACTACTAGATATCAGCAACCCCACAGTTTCTCAGATGTACAGCCAACACATGGTTACCTTAAAGTGATACTAAACTCAGGTGTTAAAAGAGAACTACGGGGTATGTGTTTTTCCCCATAGTTCTCTTTAGGGTCAGAGGAGAACAAATAATAACCTCCTTCCATGACCCAAAGCTCAGTATATCGCAGGCTATTGCCCGTGATATACCGAGAGCGCCGCAGCCGGGACTATTTCCGACATTACTGTCGAGATCCACCCAACTGCGTGAGTGATAGCTGGCTCTGCCTATCTAGAGGCAGAGCCAGCTGTCCTGGCCCCCTTCCCCATCCATTCCTCCAGTCAGCGCTGGAGGATCGGAGAGGGGGACCCAACAACACTTACTTTTGCAGCCGTTCTTTCCATCACTCTCTATAGCCAGGCTTTGCTTGTAACCGTTGACTCTAATAATGCCGGACTTCTCTGGCCAATGGGGAACTGATACACTTTTAGCTAGAATCACAACGATCTTCCTATCGCCGATGTCTAGATCTCGCCTCTCCCGAACATACACATACTACAATTACTGATTAAGGAAGACAGTTTAGAGACAGTTAGTTCCTAAAGCAGAGGCTTCAGCCAAAAATAGCCACATAATAATGATTAGCCCATTAAAAGAGAGCATAACAACAGCTTTTACTGCAATGTTCATCTTTAATAGAGAATTTCCCCTGCCTTAACAATGAAAACTAATGCAGCCACCACATTGACTGGTAGTCTATAATAATATATACATATATATATATACACATATATATATATATTTTAATTTTTTTTTTACATAGGATTTGCATATACTATAAGTACCAGATCCAAATGCACTTTGAATTCAAGGCAAATAGCTAAATACACAGATGTAATACAAATAAGGGAGTAGTTTTTCCTGCCAAACAATTTGTATTTCTGTCCATCCATTCCTGAGATTTACACAACTTACACAGCGCAGTCCTGTCTGGCACTTGACTTTTCTCTGCTGCAGTTAAGAAACACTTACAAGTCTAATTCTTCCACCACCCTGTGACTGGACAGTGAAAGTAGAAGCAGGAGACTGATGAGCTCATCTCCCTGTCAATCTGTTCTTTCCTACTATCAGCATACTCTTTGTACTATAGCACATCCGACTGGCTCTTTGTGTATAATAGACTGCAAGAGACTGACACCATGTCAAATTCATGTACTTACACTGCTGACATTTACAAAAAAAATGGTGTCAATAAATACAAAGCTGTGGAATTGTGCATTTTATATCTTCCTGGAGTTCAGCTTTAAATGCACTTTAAAAGAGAACTATGGCCAAATCTTTTTTTGGCCGTTGTTCTCTTTAGGGTCACAGGAGGACATTTACTAATGTCCCCCTGTGACCCAAAACTCAGCATATAGCGGGCCATTGCCTGCTACATGCTGAAAGTGCAAAGCCGTGCAAAGGCGGGATGGATCCTGACAATATTGTGAGGATCCACCCCGCTAACAGATTGACAGCTGGCTCTGCTTCTCAAGAGCTGTGCCTGCCCCCTCCCCGTCTGACCCTCCACTCAGGAGGATCAGAGAGGGGAGGGGGGAACCCCTGCGTGGAACAGTGACTAAAAGTCACCGCTCTCTGCAGGAAGAAGATCTTGAACAGAGGAATCAGCGGTATGTGATCGCTCAGTTCTCGATCTATAGAGGTAACAGCTGCAGTCACACGTCGGCTCTGACTATGGTGATGTGTGTATTTCACTCTCCACATATTTCTCCTTGAATACACATACAGTATAGAAGATTATTTCTTGCAAAGGTATATAAGTAACATTGTACTAAGTCCACAAAGAAGGATACATCCCGATTTGATAAAGGGAATGGATACTTTACTTCCCAATATATCACTTTGTCTTCTCCACTTTTCTCTTCTTGAAGAACTATGGAAATAATAGAGTTGGTTGGAATCCATACACAGTTTATTTCTCTTAATACATACTACAGTTCACTTTGGAAAGCAACCAGACAGAAATATAGAGACGTCATCGCTGACCAGTTTCTGGAAATCCTAATTTCCCGGCTGTCTCTGGCTCTGATTATCGAGAAACGAGTAAGCAGCAACTGGTGTCAGAACTCCTGACACACATACTACTTTCAGAAAGCATTGAAAGTTTTAGATGAACATGACTGCCAGGCTGCTAGACTTTTTAGAAAGAGGTCAGCAATGACGGCCTTAGCCTGGGTTTCCTTTTAAAGGTAGCCTATGGTAACGTTAAAGCCCAACTGAACTTCCAGATTAAGTCAATTACATTCCAGGTGTATCAAAGCAGGAAGTGTTCAGAGTAGTTTTCTGTAGAAGCAGCCACATCTGGGTAGAAAAGCCTGGACTACAATCTCAATACAAATTAGATAACTAAATGTGAGATTGTAGTCCATCATGGGAGCGAGCTTGGAGTGGTGACTACTTTAAAACATAGACAGGGACAATGGGGAACAAAAGTAGCCCCCCCCCTCTAGAAGGAAGGACAGTGTCAGCACCAATTCAGAGATGATTGGAGGTTCTACAGCCGAGTGATACACAAATTAGATATGTTTTTGGTAATCGTTAAGGTACTTGTATGCATTTAAGATTTAACTCCTGAGTGTAGGGTCACTTTAAGTGCTCCAATCCTCAGGGAGCATGAATGTTACAAATTATAGAACTATAGGTCTGAATCAGCAAGGGGGTGTATTAGATCTCTGCAAAGAGACCACTGGTCTGTTACAGAGTGTCGACTGCTGAGTGCACTAGATCTAACTAGGTGCCTATTGGACTGTGCAGTCATATGTAGACTCTGTGCAGTTGCTCTAACAGGAAAGTTGGGTTAAGACTATAAAAATGGAGGTTGATAGCACAAAGTCTATCTGACATCTCTTCTATTTCATCTCTTCAAGGATGCTGAATTACTGCAATTACAGAAAGGTATGTTCTGTCCTATAGCTTTCATGATGAATGTTAAAAGGATACAGTTATTATTACAGTGTTTGCCTAATTAGACAGATGTCTCCAGAAGAGGAATTAGAATAATACATAAATCCAAGGTTCTTTCATGACTTTTATACATATGGATAAGATTATTCACACCAAACCAATCTGTTTCCATTGATATTTGAAAATATTTATAAGATGATGCAAGCACAGCACCACCAGGTGGTAGCAGCAAGCTGGTTCCTTTGTATTAATGTCACGACAGGAATGATACATATACAGCTCCTATTCTGAATTGTCAAGGACATGAAGTTGAATGACAGACTCATATGTTCTCACATGGTCCTGTTGCATTGAATACACGTGAATCCACTCCTGCTTTTTCATGAGAAATTTACGCTTTTATCGGTATGATTCATACTGGTCCTTGGAAACAGATTTGAGTTGGACCACAGAAAGAGAATGGTGTTTGATTGAATCCTTTTACGACAAGAGGCCATTGATGTATAGATGCCAAAACCAAATATTAGCAGTGTCCCTTTGGGTCAGTTAATTTAGACAATTCTATAACTAATTGTTTAAGAACCTATAAGGCTTTTTTTTCAGTACAGTGTTTTAATAAATACCATACTCTGTTTTCTTATTATAGCCTTACATTAATAAAAAAAATTTTTAGCACTGTAATTGTATGCGACCTAAACATTAGTAAATAGAAACAGACTGCCGTCTTTCAGCTGGTGTGGCCTCTGCAAGCTTGTTTACAAACAAATATGATTGCGTGTGACTACCTGATCGGAAACCATGTTGATTTGTTCCCGAACAGACTGGAAATGTCAGCAAGCAGCGGGAACTGTAAATTAATGTTCCCTCAGTGGCATTGTGCTGCGGAATGTTAGGCTTCATTCACACGAGAAAAGGCCGGCACGTACAACTGCGTGCACGCCCTTATCGGGCAGCTCCCGGGAAGGACAGTTGCAGCGTGTGATTAGTAAGCAGCCTCAGTCCTTCTCTATGGGAGTACGCCGCCCTACGCTCACCCGCCCTGCACGTCCGTGTGGGTGCGTGTGTCCGTACTCATACACTGACAGGATAGATCCTGTCTGAGTTTGAGCTGGGATACCTGCACCCGTACGGACCTGCACTTGGGGTGAGCGTAGGGTGGCATATGGCCGCGTACTCCCATGAGGAAGGATAGGGGCTGCGTACTAATCACACGCAGCACCTGCCCTTCCCGGGAGCTGAATGATACGGCCGTGCACGCAGCTCAGAGCTGTGCGTGCTGGCTGTTTCTCGTGTGAATGAGGACATCCAGATTATAGTCAGGAAGCAGTTAAAGTGAACTTGTGTTTGGCCCAAATAGGTCTGTTACTTTCAGCCACCAAAAGCAAAGAAACATCCAGTACTTGCAGGTTTGGGGGTGCATGTGACTTACTCACCTACATCCCACGTGACAGTGTTGGTGCTTGGTGGCCCGGGGCCATCACATAGGGCAGGAAGAGAATCCTCAGCCCTCGTGACTCAATAGGTGTTAAAGGAGACGTTCTCTTTTCCTCCAAAGTGGTGCCCTGCAGTAGCAGACACCCTTCCATGTGTCCACACACATGGGAGTCCCATCCTGAAATCTCCTGTAAAATTTGTAGAGTGCCTACCAGACTCTTCATTCCTGAATGTGGTCCCTAATACCAGCCTTTACAAACCTTTCACATTGGTGTCCCATTGTTTCCTGTAGTCCAGGTCCATGTAGACGTCTGCACACAGGTCTGCTGGACAGTCCGCCAGACCGCCATAGATTTTATATTCATACAGTCCTGTTTGCTTTAATACACAGAGGGAAAAAGGGAAGCCCATTAAACAAAAAGATGAGCAAATCATTCCATTAAATTTGAGAATGGTGGCAGATCAAGTTGAACTGGTTTCTGTGAATAATAATTAGTTAATCAGGGTATTTCTTTTTCCTTTAGGGTAGATTTGTTTTAAAAAAAAATTAAACAAACAAAACAGATAAATCAGTCAAAACAGAATCAATGGAAATACAACTGAACGTATTGATAACAGAGTTACATGATCCAAAATTAAGTGATTATATTATATTGAATTATATAATATTGCTGGTGGGAATTTATCAAAACTGGAGCAGAAGAATCTGGAGCAGTTGCACATGGCAACCAATCAGCTTCTCTCTTCAGTCTGTTCAGTTAAGATTTGAAAATGAAAGAGAGAAGCAGTTGGTTGCCGTGCACAGCTGCTCCAGATTTTGTCTGCTCCAGTTTTGATAAATTCCCCTCATTGTCTATATTCCTAATTATATTATATCCTTTAAAATGATAATACATAATTAGGAATACGGAACAATAATGTCATAAAATATGATATAATATAAAACGGTTTATTTTGGATTGTGTCATTCTATTATCATTTTATAACTTTGTCAATTTTTAAATCATTTTATTTCTCTCTATTTTATGTTTTTAGGAAATTTGTCTTGTTTATTTTACAAGTCTAAGTGGACCCTGACCATGTTATTTATGGGGACTAACTATGTAATTAGGTCATTACAGCTGTGAGTGTGAGTGTACATGTTTTTTCTCTTCCATTGCAACATCAAGTTACACACATTGTCTGCTCCATTTTTTGGTTTTCCCCTGCCAATTTGATACTGGATCCTTCTTCCCCTACCCGGCAGACCAAGCTTAGTCCCTCGCAGCCCCTGGATGACCCACCTGACACCAAGCCACTCCTCATGGTCACAAACGGCTGAGCTTCCTTCAAACCCCACCACATGTGAGTGCACATCAGAGAATATTGTGTTGCCCCTTTAAAAAAAAAACCTTATTGCGCTAGGTTGTGGTGCTCTGCTTCTGCCTTTTTGTTTTTCCAGGATAAACACCAGATGCCCCCGTCTGATTTCACCAGCCACACACCAGCCTCCAATAACCAGGCCCCTCCAAAGTGTGCTCTCCAAATTGGACTTTTCTTTGAATTTTTTTATTTCTCAAAGTGAAAATAAGAATTCTTCTGATGTAAACATTGAGAATGAATTACTCCACAAAGCCTGCAGCTGCAGAGGTCATTGAGGGTTTGTTGTAAAGCTAATTTTTATGCTTATTAAGAATATGCAAATACTTGAATGTCATTAGCATGTCTGCAGATTCATTATAAAGGAAGTTTCCTAAGACTAACATGGAAGCTAACATCTCCTTTTATAAAATCCAGGGTCTCACTGGCTGCAGTTCTTTCTATATCAGATTCGGAACAACTGTGCATTTCAGGAAAGGCGGAGTCAAGTCCTTATCTGTATACTTCTTTTGGGTTAGTGATTTAAAGGATTGAAGCCACTGGATCTGGATGACAACCAGACAACTAGCAGCTGCCTTTAAATGTCTCTCTTTTCTTGCAGGAACTTTTACACACATAGTTGGGAAGGTTCGTTCTAGTTTTCCATACAGTGTTTGCCTTTTGTTAGGATTCTGGCATTCCCTAAGTAACCCCTCAGCTCAAATGATGTACTGTGTTGTTTTTCTACCTGAATGATGTTTGGAACACTGGTATGAGATTTCCAGGAGCCCAGAAGACATGCAGGCTGAAGAATGTTCTGATGTTAATAAGAAAATTTAGTGGAGACGTTTACTGGAGCTTTGTGGACCATGACCTATTAATTCTATCAGTTCTGGCATATATTGCTGTTTTTCCAAGAAAGCCCTTCAAACCCACCATCTCCTTTTGCACAACATATTAGTTAGAGTATATTTTTATAGGGCTTTATACGCTTAATATCACAAGACACAGTTCTCACAAAACTTCCTTTACAGTATCTGCATTCTTAAAGAGGAACTTTACTCATATCTTTAAAATAACAACAAAGGCACCTTTAGAAATATTTAGTAATGATAATCTACAAACACATACTTACTAGATAGTTACCGGCTTTTTATTCTTTGCATACATTATATTTCTTTACTTCCCCATTCTTCTCACAGTGGCCATTTCTACTAAGGGCAGATGTATCCATCTCCCTATACTTCCATGATCCTGGAACTTTGGCACATGTGACTAGGACATGTGACCATGCACATAATCTCAGGGGAGGAAAATGCCTTTCCCTGAGATCTCATGAGATTACAGATGAGATTTCCCAGCAATGCTCTGCTGATGTAATCTTCCCAGGGCACAGATTACATCATTTGTGCCAAAGTGGACCAGGAAGTGGATGAACTCTATTTCTAAGTAAATAAAAAACATGTTTGTTTAACTACGGTAATAAACGTAAGATGATTTTATTTCAGCATGCAGAGCTGCATTTGATTTTTAGGTAAAGGGGGTAAAGGTCCACTTTACAGTAACGTTAACATTTTTAAAAAAATATATCATTTTATTTACGGATGCACAGATACTTTTCGAGTACCAGTGCAGATACTTGGCATTTTCATGAGAACTACCAGGGTTGCAGCTGTTGTAGCTGGGACCGGGCTCTGGCGCTCCACCGCTGTCCTGAAATCATTAGTCTGTATTGTTTTAGAAAAACTGTCACATGACTATAAACAAAAATTTATCAGTACTCGTACTTGTAAGTACTCGGCAAGTACCAGTACTCGCAAAACTGGTATCTGTGTATCCCTTTATTTATATTTATAAAAACAAAATCGTACATTAAAACAGAGATGTACAAATCCCAGGAGCTCTGTGTGCTCCTTACAAATGACAGCTACCTCCTAACTTTTGAATTTTTCTCTAGTGTAGTCTTGGAGCTCAAAAGTATCGGTACATGTACTCGTACTTGTACTGAGTACTGTACTTGGTATCTGTGCAACCCTAATTTTATTGATTTTTAAAGAGAACCTGTCACCACCTCATGCCTACTAAGATACAGCTGCTGCGTGAATTAAATTACAATACAAAAACTGTGGTTGACTTTCCTTTCAATTTTCCTGTTAAAAGTACACTGCAAAAAAGGCAGATATTCTGCTGTTTCTCCAACACTTCCTGGAAGTGTTGGAGGCTTGTTGCTTCAGCCTGACTCCACAGCTCCCCTGCCTGGCCCTAAGGTCACATGTGCTCCAAGTGGCAGTCTGTAAAGCCTTACATGATCTGCATAGGTTGCCTAGACAGCCAAATTTTTTTGCACTGTAAGTGAATTCACATAACATCTTCATCTTTAGGGCTCATTCACACTTGAATTGGCCCGGACGTACAGCTCTGTGCTGCGTGCAGGGCCTACCGAGCAGCTCCCGGGAAGGACAGGTGCTGCGTGTGATTAGTACGTAGCCCCCCGTACTTCTCTATGGAACTACGCGGCCGTAAGCCCCCCTACGCTCACCCGCCCTGCACGTCCGTGTATGTATGGGTGAGCGTACTGGTACGCTGACAGGATGGATCCTGTCTGCGACCGAGCCAGGAAACACGCACCCCTACGGACCTTTACTTGAGGTGAGCGTAGGGGGGCATTCAGCCGTGTAGTCCCATAGAGAAGGACGGGGGCTGCGTACTAATCACACGCAGCACCTGTCCTTCCCGGGAGCTGCCCAAAACAGCACTGCACGCAGCACGGAGCTATACGTGCGGGCCGATTCCAGTGTGAATGAGGCCTTATAGACATGTGGTGGTGACAGGGTCTCTTCAAAGAAAACCTGTCATAAAAGAAATACAGAATTTGCCATTGCGAAGGGCTGCGCAAACTGTTGGCGCTATATAAATCCTGCATAATAATAATAATTGCTTATATGCAAATGCTAATTGCCTGGCTTTGACCCTCTTGATACTATTAGGGAGCTTTCACTTTACACTTTCTAACTAATATACATACTTCCTCCAGGTCAGTGACTCATTGGGGCTTATTTATAAATATTCAGCCCAGCAAATAGCTGGATGAATGCCATTTGAACGTCATTACAGCTACTAGATGCTTCTCATCGCAATCTGCTGGTGGTAGTGCAAATGGTATTTGCCCAACTTTGAAAGATAAATCAGCCCTGTAAAGCACTAAAGAGTTAAGCAATGGCAGCCCTCATATTTTTCTCTTAACAGGTTATGTTTAAGCAGCTTATAAGGCAATGAGATTCTACATATACACAGAATATTGTTATCCATGTCTTGTTATAACAAGGAGCCTGTTGCAACAAATATCACTGTTTTGCAAAGCGTAACAAATTTGCTAAATACGCTTGTCATGTAATAAGTAGGTAATGACAGCTTTCTACAAGAAGCATAAGAATGGAATCTAGAGCTGAGCTAAAGGGACGATTAAATTGCTAAACTGTTGATTTGACAACTTGAAAGTATTCAGCTCGGGTACAATGTATAACCACCCAGATTGTGTATAATGCATTAAATGACAACTTCACTTTTAGTGCATGTGAGCCGCTCAGCCCATTCATTCCTATGATTGTATTCATGGCAACACCCAGCCATCCAGAAGAAGAATACGGTCCAAGCCATAGGAATGAATGGCCCGAGTGGAACGCATGTGCAGTGAGAACTGGATGCTGCCAGGTGCTGCAAAGATGCAAAGACTGTGTGGCACCAAACAGGGCCACACGGTGAAGATTTCAGGAGCTGGAATGAAGGTAAGTATCTTACTTCTTGGGCTTCACTGAGGGGCTGAACTAAAAGTGAAATTGTCCTTTAAAAATGCAGAGTTTGGCTAAGACAGCAGAGAGCTAATATAATATGTTAAGAACATCTGTGCTTTGTTCATGTGTACGGACCTTGGATCATGAGCTTACTACATAATGCTCCTAGTGCTTCCTATCCTGACCCCAGCATGTGACCTGACATTAAACCCCTGACATTAAACTCCTGACCTTGGATTGTGACTTGCA